TATTGTAGCTAATCATGAGAAGTTGTCAAATCTTCTCACAAAGGAAAAGGAAGCAATTATCTATGCTTCCATGATTTCCGTTTCTAGGCTTTCTAAATGGTTTCTTCTGAAACTTCTAAAAAGGGTATTCTGTAAGTTAATGTATTTCTAAGATAACAAACCCTAATTCTTTCTCTATAAAAAAATGTTCAGTATATCCTATACATAGTTTTCCAGATCCCTGAAATTGTTGCCCAGAAAGAGGGGTACGGAATACATGTCTCAGTGAATACTGTACCGTATATGGTTACCAATGCACATCAAAGGGGGTTTTTATGAGGGACAAAATAATGTTTAAAAAATGAAAATGAACGTTGAAAAAAAAAGGGAGCTACGAATCTGGAATGCCTGCTTACACTGATGAGTGCGACGAGGACTCCAATAATAGCCCCAACCAGCACGTCCCACCAGTGGTGTCTATGATCCTTGACACGAGACAACCCACAAACCATGGCCCAGACAAAACTGCAGACGCAAATCACGCCGGGTACCATTCGATTAATGCCCATTATTCCGAGTGCAGGGGATCCGTCGCTGCGACGGACTGCGTGCAAGCCGCCATGCTGTCGCCACTTGCAGACGATTCTTTCTACAGTGTATGCCTATGCATAAGAAATAAGTCGTAAACAGCAACAAAATATCCAACATCATTCGGATTTGCAACACTTGAATAAATATAATTTCGAAATTTCCTCAGAAATGAACCGAAATCGCAGGTGAAGATCAATTGATTTGACGCGCATCTTCAACTTGGATAATCAAAAAAAATTAGAAAATGTATTATCTTGTTATCGGAAGAATTTTCCCTGACAATAATTAGCTGTGGAACGCTGATGCGTTTAACAAAAATCTTCTAAAGACAGAGCTTGTACTGTGATGAGAAAGAAAGAGAGAAAGAACAAGGAAGGATGAGCTAATTATGGTGAATATATTATATTTGTATATAATTGAACTCCTTCTGATTCCAAGAATCCATTAATTTATGACAGGCAAGCCCCTCCCTGATGTACGCACGCATACACAGAACTAATTGGTAACAAACTTCTGGGATTCCCCTTCCTGGTTTCTCCCCAAAGCAAGTGCACATCCACCTGATTGCAAATTATGCAGCAACTTATTGGGTTCCCCTTCCTGGTTTGGCTCATACATAAACCCCAGCCAAATCGAGGAAAAGCGGGCATTAGTGCAGTAACTTTAAGATTAACCCTTCTAGTGCAATCCTTTGTGTTTGCTATTGTCTCCGGATTGTGTTGTGTGTTATACAGTATTAATACTCTGCATTAATAAAAGACTATTATTGTCTTATCAGACTTGTTGGAATTCCTTATCCAGCCATTCAAATAGGGGACACACAAATCTCTATATAACTAGATCAGTGAAGTAATTCTCATTGATTATCCAAAAAGGGATAACAATCTGTTCGTATTTGCTTGCAGCAGATTTGTTATAATTTTGAGTTAGCCGTTTTCATCTCTTCCAACAAAATCTCAATCAATTTTTAAAGTGAATCTCCATTGCTCTGCTGCTTCTAGAAATTGAATGAAAAACAACTTGAACGCGAAAGATTCAAAATTACAAGCAATCCTAAAAGGCAATTGTCTCAAGGGCTCCACCAAAGCTATTAATTTAAAATCGGTCTGAGTGAAACTCAAATAATAGTTACAATATTCATACTTTCCGAAAAAAAAAGCAAACAAGTTTCGAACGTCATCTGCAAAATTTTCAACAGATACGCGGTCCCAGCAAAGAATTTCGCGGCATAAAATTTGCAGACGGTATGTAAAAAAAATTTGAAAGACCATATTTGTTAATGTATATCTTTCTAAAATACTGCATTGCGCAGTGTATCATCACAAGTTTTTACACATTCAAATAAAAAGACGATATTTGAGGCGGAGTCCGAAGGAAATCTTCCAAGAAAAATTGCAATAATTTCTTGCAAAATCGTCTTCGAGGTGAGTTCTGAAAAGTTTGCGACTTTTTCTACAATTAAAAGCTGCTCGAAATTTGAGCCAAAATGTTCGTTTTGATAAGACAGGGCATGGATGACTTCGGCAACATCTGCAAGCATAATTATTGAATGCTCAAAAAATAAACGACACCTCTTTGAAACCCATTTTGACCTCATATTTCTGTCAAGAAAACTTTTTTCTATGAAGCAGAAGAAAATACTTACAATGACCGCAGTGGCAGCAGCAGCAGAAATCGACGCGTGTCCCGAAGGAAAACTTTGCTGCGAATCGATGATTCTACTTTTCGACCCTGAAGCTGTGCATGTGAATTCCGTGATGAACCTGTGGAAGGGAAGCAAGGAAATTAACGAATTTTCAATCAATAACAGCAAATGACGAACCAAAAAAAAAAAAAACCTACCGGCTCAACGGAGATTACTTTGTCGAAACTTGATGCTTAAAATATCTTTTCAACTAGGAAAACTCCATTTTCAATGCCTTTTTCAGTTGGAAAGATATATTTCTACGTTATTCTTCTTTCAATAATTAAAAAATCATTTTGAGAAGAAAAAAAAGATTAAGCACATCGACATTTCGAGCACTTTTTTGTGTGCACAAATTGATATTTCAGTCTTTCCTTATTGACACCTCACTTGACTCCACGATAACGGAACTATCCTCACCTATTTGCTAAGCAGTCGTCCTCGTCAAACTTGGGTTTGCAAGTTTGGAAAAAATGCGGACGAGGCATTGACATATAAAATTTGAGCACGTCAGTGCTGACAGCCGTATAAAATATTGCAAGGAAAAACACTGCGGTGGGTCCCCGACTTCTTCTGAACCCTCGCCGCCACGAGAACCCATTTGTTGCCGATTCCACCATGAATTCATTCACAACCACCTTTCGAAAGATGAATATACTCCGTTTTTAATGTGTAAAAACGACGGAATTCCAGCGCAAAGTATAGCTTTTGAATTTATTGTCGTTTTGCCTGATTTAAACCAGCGTGAGCGTTTCGCGGAATTTGTTCAATTATGCTCATAAAATAATCTCATCGAAAAAAGGATAAAAATCCCATCGTTTAAGTTCAAAGATGATGAAGTTACTGCGATAAATACATTACTCGCTCAAAGAATTGATTAACATTTTTCAAAAAATAAAAAACGGCGAAGTTCGAGCGCTCAAAAAAAATTTGTTTTGTTAACCATCCATTATTTACCCATCAATATGCGTAAACGCGGCACTGATGCCCTTGAATTGTATACTGTACTCATAAAACAAACTCATTTGAGAATCGAGACTTGAATTTCAAAATATTCCATCAAAAAGTTTAATGATGAAAAATACTTGCGATAAAATACATACCAAAATAATTGGAGCAAGAATTGATACCGACAAAAGCATCAATGGCGAAATAGTGTCGCCGTTTTCAACCTTCTGTAAACTTGCATCAGAGCAATAAAAGCCCCAGGGCTGAATCGCAATGTCACCTTTGTTCTTCAGGGCAATGAACAATAAGCCTGAAAACAAATAATTAGCTTAATGAGCCGTGCGTTAATCAACTCCAAAAAAAAGGAGAAGCAGTGGAAAACAAGTCCCGGAGACTGATTAGCAGCTTCCAATTCTTTTTGTTTTGCCTTTATTTTTGCGTTTTTAGTCAAGAACAATCTGTTTTGACTTATGTATTTAAAAGCAAGTTATTTTTCAAGTAAAGATGTTTTCGATGTGCAATGGAATCTATATAAGAGGAGCGAAAGTAATAATCGAGGTTTTTGTTGGAAGTGGTCCGACTTTTCCTCACCATGAGTTATTTTCTTTTAGACTAGATGTCACTAATATTCGTAATTGAATTTATTTCCACCGCCAAGTTTAATTATTTGCGTCTCAGTTTCTGCTGTTACTCTCGATTGTGATCAGGATGGAATTTTCAGTACTACATCAATTGTGGGACCAATATTTATAAAAACGCAGTACAGTATTAACAAGATTATTACATGCCGTAAATTTTTCCAAAATTGAAAGGAAAACGAGAGGGTGCACATCATAGGCGGGTATAAGATTTCGTTTTTAATTTTCAAAGCTTCAGCAAACATAATACTTGATTGCAACTAGGAATTTTTAACGAATATCATCATATAAGGTAAAACAGAAACAATTGAACATTAAAATTGAATTTGACTACTATTTGTCAGAATTTAAATTCTGATGCATTTTACTCTTGAAATGCAGTATTGCAATTTTCAGTTTCTAAAATGAGATGCAAGACCTACCTCAGGATACATTTATATGCAAGTTCTAGGCTGAAAAATGCAGGTCTTACTGAAGGGTTCATGATAATAAAGTTAATCAAGTATTTCCTCATCTGAGTACGTAATTCCTTTCATCAAGAGCTCATCGTCAACTTGTATACATGTCAAATAATTGACCTCAAGATTAAACATGCCTTCCCCACTGAATACATTTTTAAACAGCATAAATACGACATTGAATCAAGTACCATGTGCCCTCAAATAAGACATGCACCATAGGTTTTCAGTAAAAATGTTGTCCCCCAGTAAGAAGTGCATCCCATTTATAGCGCATGTAAAACAGCAATATTAAAAAAAAAAAATCCCAAATTCGAATTTAGACATGAATTAAACCTGAATTCAATTAATTTCAATTGTTTTGAATGAAACATGTTTTTATGTTGAGCTTTGTTCAAAATAACCCATTAGAATCAAGTATAATGCATATCTAAACTTCTAAATGCTTTTGAAAATTGTACACCCACCTATTATAATGTGCACTCCTGTTTTTCTTGAATCGATAAAAAAGGTGTATTCGGCATTTAATTAAATGTCATACTTATCATTCTTGCGCAAGATTTTTGCAAAATTGAGGATGTATTTTTTATGTTTCCAGCAAGTATAGGCCGCATCATTACTTTTGTATACATAAAATCAAGATTTTCAAATTTATATAAAAGGATTCTGGCATAAGTGAAAAAAACATTTTTTGCAGCAACTTTTTCTGTACAATACAAATTATTTTTCTTCCCAGAGGGTTCTCTCCCATGTATGAAGGGTTCTCTACAGCAAATTTTTTTTCTGGTCCCTTGAATTTTGTTGCCAAGCAAGTCCACCTAAAAAAAAACCTAGGATCCCTAATAACATAAAAACTGCTATGTTAAAAATGTTTTCCAGGTAAAAAAAAAAAAAAAAAAAAAAAAAAAAAAAAAAAAGAGACCTCATCACCTGCCAACACAACCAGGAATTCCAGCAGACCCCTGACGGAACAACACGCCAGGCAATGCGACCGCTTCTTCAGCTGTCCGTCTTCATCCGCATCCGCAGCAGCCTCACTGCTGCTCCACACGGGCTCCTGCTTCACAGCACCCAGTTCGAGCGCCACTGCGGCGCCGTCGCCGCCAACCGGGTCCACCACCAGCGACGGCGCCACTCTCTGCGATTTTGTCACCCCCATCGTATTCTTGGGCACTGCTTCGCAGCCGCCGCGAGCGGAAACTCTGATGCGTGTCGATGGCCGCACACCCGCACCGCGGTCCACCTGCTGCGTCTGCCACATTCACGCCGCCGCACAGATCGGGAAATGGAGGAGAAAACACACAGAGCCCGGGATGAAGTCGGCGAACAAAGTGATGCGGGGAGGAAAGTGGTGCCGCGGGTTTGACTATTATATATAGGGCAGGGTTCGTGTCATGGGATCGGATCGGATCATGTGCTGCCGAGTCAGGGTTCTGTTGGGATGATTCGTGCATAAATAGGAAGGAATCTTCGACGAGCAACGAAGCGCGGTTTCTTATCGCGCGAATCACGCGCAAGGGCGCGACAATGACGCAGCACGCACGCATAGCACGCAACTGCCTGCGCATGACACTGAAATGCAGTGTATATAGGCACTGTTGTTGTGGTGGTGGGGGAAGGTGGAGAGTATATGGCCTGCTCTCACTAAAGTGAGTTTGACACACACATACACACATACTCCTCACACACACTCTCTCTCTCTCTCCCTCCCCCTCTGTTTCTCCCTCTCTCTCCCTCTCTCTCTCCCTCTCTCTCTTTCTCCCTCTCTCGCCCTCTCTCTCTTTCTCCCTCTCTCTCCCTCTCTTGCCCACTCTCTCACACCACACTCTCTCTTTCTCCCTCCCGCTCCCTCTCTCTCTTTCTCCCTCTTTCGCCCTCTCTCTCTTTCTCCTTCTCTCGCCCACTCTCTCACACACACACTCTCTTTCTCCCTCCTGCTCCCTCTCTCTCTTTCTCCCTCTCTCGCCCACTCTCTCTCTCCTCTCTCTCTCCTCTCTCTCTTTCTCTGTACCAAAATTATAATAATAAAGAAATACTTGCTTAGCTTTCTATTTGGTGCTTTTTCTCCTGGAGGGATTGATACTGGTGATTGAAGTGCAAGTGATACTGAGTCCAGTGCTCTCTCAGGTAGATTTTATACCTGGGTTGTTTCAAAAGTTTTGACAAATCCCCAGGAGGGGGATACGCTTCTTTTGGAGCTTTGTGTCAAAAGTGAGTTAGCAAGAAAAGAATTTGCATTGTGGTTGAACTCACGCGGATGACCTGGAAAACATTTTTAACATAGCAGTTTTTATGTTATTAGGGATCCTAGGTTTTTTTTTATATTTCAGGAAGTTAAAGTTTGTAATCTTTTTTTTGTGCCCAAAACTGCTGTGTAATCATGGGTACAGAAGAAAGAATTTACCCATTTCATTTCTAATTTCCTTTACAAGGGCATTATTTTTACATTTTTATTGAGTTTCTCTTCCCTATAGGTCCTGAAGAAAGTTGAGTTCCAGCGCCTCGAGAAAATTAAAATCTTTGAGTTACTGATGTCTACAATGTATTGTTTCTTTCAGAAAACTCAGATAGGTAAAAAGAATTTTACCTTTGCAGTTGTTTGACTTTGGTAGGCTCATTAAGATTAAATAAGAGATTAGACTGTGGTTTTTCTGTCCCAATTTTTGATTTCCTATCTTGCTAAAAAAACAAAAGATGCACTTGAAAAATATTCTGTGCATAGCAAGAGATGATATTCCCCACCATTAATGCAAGAATATAATGTTTCAACAACCTCATATCTTCATGAATTTGAAATATAATACAGTGATGGTGCATCTTATTTAATTCGTTGCACACAGTATTCATTTTATGGTACACATGTGTATACATAGAAGTGGTTCATGCATTCCTGGATTCCAACTTGAAAGTGGTAAGTATCGAAATCACAAAGGAAAGTCATTAAGCCACTGAAGGAGGACCAATAAGAAGTCCTGTAAAACTTGGTCTTGACTCTTGACTCTTGAGTTGATCAACAGCACAACCCTTTAACGACCATGACACAAAACGCCAAGAAACGGGATAAAGCAAAACAAGAGAAAATTATAAATGCATTGGAGGAACTTAGAAGGACCTAGAAATATTAAATGAAATTTTCGAAACAGTCTTTCTTATGCAAATGCATTTTTGCTGCATGGTATTTGCATTACGTGAGGTATTTTTGCCTGAGGCTCTCCATTGTACCAACCAATTAAGAGTGAGCATCACTAGCTGCTGCTCTTAAAAAGATTAAATAGTATCTTATAAGGATACCAGTACTGTATTACAGTATATTGAAATTTTTTCAACGAGAAGGTGAATACTGTATTTTTGTTCTCACACTTACCGTTTTGGACTAGCAACTGCTGGAAGGGAAGTTCTTCTAAAACTAGGAGTAAATCAGTAATACGCATCGAGATTGCTTGGAGGATTTAGATTCAGAAAATTTATCGAAGTTGCACAGTACAGCACTTGAATGCCCAAGGAATTTCACCGCAAAGTACTTCAGCAAAGAATTTAAAAACATGTCCCCTCGTATTCCATGCGTGGTTTCCGCTCCGTGTGCTGCATTTGAGCAGGAAACTGGGATGCATTAAATTCTTCTATTTATTATCACATCGAAACGAATGGTCATGTTCAGCCTTCCGGAAACACCGTGACATTTTCACGCCCATTTGATGCATCATGAGAACGAAAAAATAATAATTTGACAGTATCGTAATTTCCTTTTCCACAACGTTCCCATGAAAGAGATTCTGTGCTCTTCTTGGGTTATATCAAAAGAAGCATACTTTTTTTTTTTAATAATGGAATGCTCGCAATTCAATCTATATTAAAATTTTTTATGACATCACGAACAATTGCTTCGTTAATTTTCATCAAGGAGCATCAATCGAAAGTCCATCAAATCAATAGTCTCTACTAATTGTTGCTCTACTAATTCGGATTCAAATTCACAAATGAACCGCGTTCGTTATTTTCTTTCAAGTTTTCAAGGACATTACAAACACGTTTTTTAAGTTAAATTAAAGGAAAGCACGCGTTGATTTTCAAAAATTTGAAACCTGATGGAATGAGATTCAGAGACTGGGACTAATTCCTTTGAGAGTCTTGTTCTCTTTGACAGATATATAAGCGAGTTCCTCATTGGTACTTACTTTGAATCGATTTGAATGATCAAGTCAGCTTTTTATGAGCCAATATAAATGCCCTTTGTCCGATGGCAAGACAGACAAAAATAATGACCAGTTTGAAGTCGTAAATTGTGTCATTATCTGAGAAACTTTGTGGCTGGAACAAGTTCTTGAAACAATAGTAGTTTAATCCTAGCAAAAAACTTGACAGTGGTGCACCCAGGGGATGGGTGCAGCAAAATGCAAAAATTTCAATTTTATTTCTGCATTTTATACTTCGAATAATCTTCCACAATATTTCAACAATATTTAAAAATAAGTAAAACTCTCCGTAGAGAAACATATTTCTTGGAAATACTTCAGCTCCATTTGAGGATGTATGCCTCTCTTTTAAATAAAAAAATATGTTGGAAAGAATTTTCCTCTGTTGTAAAAAACAGGTGTGAATGAATAAGTTGATACAGAAGGAAATGTTTCTCCCGCATGTAATTTTGTTTCATTTTATTTTTTAAAGAAATACTGCATAGGTTCAATAAAAGGAAAATAATATACAATATCTTGAACAATTTTCCTTTTTATTCCATCAGAGAGGCTCAAAAACTATGAAATGTCTTGAATTATCTGTACGTAGTAAATGTCCTTCTAGCATATTGATGATCCATTTCCCAAAATATTTCAGTCATCAAATTGTGTTGAAAACCATGAATCTTGATGCAGCGCATTTTTTTAAATACAATTTTTATAAGGTCACTGAGGAGACTTAGTTGAAACAAGAACTTAACGTATATCAACAGTCTGATGAATAATTACGTATATATCTTTGTGCTTCACTGTATATTAATATGCATCATACGTGCATTTAGCTGAAGTCACACATTTTTGAATTTATTTTTCCTTTAAACAATCTAGACCCTAGAGGGATATATTTTTTTTCACAACTCAGAGAAGAGTTGAAAACGAAGAATTTGTTGCGCAAACGACGCACACAAAGCAGGTATCTTTGGATATCTTTCATTACGCATAAAAGGCTCTGATGTTCGTTTTGCCAGTGCATTTTGCAATTGAATTAAAAGTGATTTTCAAACATCTCAGCCCGCAGGCAGAGGACTTTATGCAGTTTCATGTGCTGGAACACACGGAAATCGTTTTCATCGCATCGTTGGCAGTTCCCGTGAACACACCAAGCTGGGATGAACTCTAATTGATTATCCAGTGTTTTTTTTTTCAATTTTGAAAAGTACTTTGACTTCCAATCATGCTACGACAAGGGTTATTATCCCGAATCGATTACATTTCTGCTCCGTTCCGAGCTCGGTATAATGGATATTACTCCGTTACCCCGAATGGAGCTGCAAGCACTGAAAATTCAATTCGGAGAAGAAAACTTTTCTATAACCTGATGTTTTTACACAGAATCTTCACAATCCATTATTGAATTTAAAATTAGTATCGTGAGTGCGTCGATCGACGACGCAAACATCGATTCTGATTTACAGTAGAATCTCATTACGAAAAATTCACTTTATAATGAAGTTTTGCCTACAACGAATTTTTCTTTAAGTCCTGGCAGTTACCCTTAAGATGTAGTTTAAATTAATTTCGTTTTAACGAATTAATTTTGTACCAGCTCTCTGGTAGCAACAAATTTTTGTCCCCAATTTTTAAAAATTTCCCATAATTTTTCCGATTTTGGCTCTGATTTTTTAATTTTTTTTCCTGAATGTTTGTACAATGCCCCGTTCCCTGGGGCTCATCAGTATAAGGTGGACAGGATATGCCTTTCCCTCAGAGTTATAAAAACAGGAAGCTAAAAATTGGTTACATTAATGTACAGCAGGAAGCTCATGAAATAAATGGGCCCTGATTAATTTATCTATCGTTTAAGGAGACTGGAAGCATAGTGCAAACTTGGAGCTGAGCCTCCAAGAGCCACCAAAATCTATGAATTTTATTCTAATGCTCTTTTGTGTGGAGTTTTATTTTAGAATGTTAAATTTTTTGAAAATTTGTAATTATTTTAGGAAAGGATTATGTTTTCAAGTTCCAAAAGCATTTGGACGATGTCTTGGTGAATTCTGTGGCAAAGATACTCTGCAAAAATTGCCCAGAGTAAAATCACTGACTTTTTGAAGCAGTAAAATGCTTGTTCACATGTTAAAGGGTTGTTTCTGCAAATAAGTACATAAATCTCAATATCACGAATTTTTCGTTCGAACGAAATTTTTTTCTGGTCCCTGGGAGTTGGTTGTAATGATATTTTATGCTTGAAGCTGTGAATATAGTT